GCATTGATTTGCGTGGCTATCCACTATGTCTCACACATTGTAAAAAACCGAATAAGACCTGTATTATCTCAAAACCTGAGCTCAGTTTGTTACATTTTTTCGACCAGTTTCCCGTTTAAAAATCTATATCGGTGAAAGAAATAATGTAATAAATAAAGACAAATCATTCTACTTAAACGAAACAGTTTGATGACCGGTTGATCTTTTTAACAGCTTGCTTACTTAAAATAAAACAAACAATAAAGTGATAATACCTTATTCTGATATTGACACTTAAGTCACTTCTATGGACAAAAATATTATTGACAGAATCAGATGTGATGGCTTTCCAGAAATATAAGATAAATTCGTGGAAATCAATCGAAAACCTTAATTTTCATAGTTGATGGTTAACAATGAAACCTCGTTCGATCACGAGATCATTATTGTGAGCAAATCTTTATGATGTTAAAGCACATGTTGCATTTAGATATTTATAAAATGAACAATATATTTATGCTTTTTATGTTGATCGTCCATAAAAGCATGTGGAAAATAGTACTCATAAGCATGACAAAAAAGCAGTTTCTTTATACTTCGTTTGTGTGCAAACAAGGCAACCTCTCTCTTTAGAACTCATTCATCTGGTGTTGTGCACTGCACATAGATGGCATGTTTCAGTCACTTTTAGTATTCACATAATCGGTCATCTGATCTTATCAACTGCGAATATGCCACACGTCTGATTAACGATCGTCTAACGGTAATTTACAATGATGAAAAATTAAGTCCAGCTTCAAACTAACACTTTATTTAGTAACTAGGCCTGTTTGTAGTGATTATGGCAATACATTTTTGTATGCTACCAGTCAGAACATTCACATTCGCTTGCGCTGTCAAGCGGAAAAGAACTATGCATGGTTAATCACTCGTGCAACATTTCCGAATGTACATGCAGACAAAACACACCAACCATCTATGGTTATGATATAGATGTTTGTTGCCGAGACAGCAAACGTTTAATAAAAGCTCTGACCCCAAATAGTTTTTAATATCTTATCTAAAGGAAGTTAATGTTGGGAGTCCATCAAGCTCAAATCAAAACTTAGCCTTTCTAATGAAAAAAAGTGCCAGAATTGTGCATCATTTCCCCGGTTGTTGACATTAGTTTGATAGAATTATTACTGTTAAACTGCCATCTGTTTATTCAGTTTAATATGAA